CCACTTCAAATCATCAAAATTAAATGAAATAAACATTTGAATGCATCAGTCTGCGTGCAATGAATAAATATAATGTACAAGTTACACCTTTTGAATGCAATTATTGAAATAAATCAAGTTTTTCAAAATATTCTAATTTACTGACTTTTACCTGTATACATATATACCGTAAGTAACATACAATGGAAATGTTTCAAAGTAAATAAATCAATAAAGTAATGATAAAATGAACAATGTTAATAATAATTACAGAAGAAAATATGCCAAACAATAAAATCTAAAACAGAAAACCTCAGAACCATATGGCAGTAGGATTAAGCTATTGCAACGGTTTAGTTAAAGCCCAGACTTTAAAGTGGTTAAAATTCTGCAGTAGAACCTCAAGAAAAATTGCTAAAGGTGGTTCTGCAAGTCTTACACAATGTGCAGTACTTAGCTTTTCAGTTATGGTTTAGAGTTATCTGTAGACCAACTCTATGTCAGCAAACACTAGAGGGCTTTTTCCTAAATTTGAAGCAAGATTTATAAACTTAAAGCATAGATTTACACAAATTTGTCCACAACTTTAACTGAAGGGTCCATAGATCAGAACATATTCAGCATCAGATACATTTAATCTGCTAAAATGGTTCTTCTTTTTCTACTTCATGTGAACATTTTAGTCAACCATCCATAGACCCAAATCTGCTGTTTCTAATCATCCAGATGCTTCTTGGGGAATGTCTTAGCAGCAGATGTCATGGCTATGGCTGATCCTGCATTGTTTCACCCAAACCCCAGCAAGAACTCATTGTTAAACATTGGTTTTATTCATTATTCATTCTTTCTGCTTTGATTTGGTTTGATGCTTGCAGTAAGGAGCAGCAGCGGTCTGCAAAGACCATGTCTGTGTGGGAGCAGCGGACCAACCAGCTGAGGAAGCACAACATGAAGACAAGCACCGAGGCTCTGTTCAATGAGCTGGATCCCGAGGAGAATCTGAGGATTTCCAGCACGCTCCATCTGCATCCTGACATGACGACTCACAGCGACCGACCGCTGGTTGTGGAGGACAAGAATGGTGATCAGACCAAAGCTGGTGTGCAGCAGGATGCGGGAGGGCCCCGACAAGGCACTGTGAGGGACAGCTTCCACACTCACTCCAGGAGGCATTACCACCACCGAGACAGAAATGGGGAAGGAGGCGACAGCCAGGGAGGTAGGCACCACAGTCATCATAGCCGCAGCAGAGAACATAACGGAAATGGTTCCCAGGACAAAGAGAGGTCCGGAAACCATGAAGGACAGAGACACCACCACCAAACTGGTTCGCCTGAGGAAGATGCACGCCCAGGAGGAGGAGGAGGAGAGGAAAGAGGGCATCGCCACCACCGCTCGCGTCGGACTCTGAAGGAAGGAAACGGGCGTTTGACAAATGGAGCACAAGAAGAGGGGAAAGGGAGAGGGGACAGCAATGGGGAGAAGAGGCTGCGCTCCACCCGTACGTCTAAGGCTCAGTTCACTCTGAGTGGGGACGAATGTAAGGGGAACAAGAATGGGTCCAAAAGTCACAGGTGAGACTATTGGTGCATTCACTTTTCACGCACAAGTCTGAATTGAGTTCCAGATTAGCTAATCCAACTAAAATGTCACAATTTAAACATTAATCCCAATTTGTTCATCAACAAATCCAAAAACCAATGAGGCTGCATTGGTTCTAAAAGTTAATCATTCCATAGGAGTAAGCATCAGAAATGGCCGGTCCTCATTTTTCTTTTCCATATCTAAGCAGGAACTCAAGTCTTTTGCTTGTGGCTAGTTGGTCAGGTCACAAATCTCTAGAACTGAAATAAACATTTTTCTCATCAAATCCAGAAGTCTGATTTTTTTATTTTCAAACTGTGAAAGTTCAAAGTGTGAGTCAATTCAGAAGTAGTTTTTCTCAGCATATAAATATTGTGCAATCTGTGAGACATTAAGACAGAAGGATCAGTGTTCTTTAAACAAAAAACAAAATAACCCAAAACAACCCTCAAATTACCAAAAAAGATAGATGTTTGTTAAGTTAGGAAGCAGAGACAGAAGCATTTATTGGAAGAAAAAAGGTTAAAATTTATTTAACATCCTCAGACGGAGAGATAGGTCTCTGACTACATACATTTATACCTTACAAAATCACCCACACACACTCCCCCCAGGGGAACGAACCCACCCCCTGCATAAAGAACTTTCTGACACTTAAACATTTGGAGGAAAAACAACTTGAGTTCATCAAGGCCATTAGCTCAGCGGTCTCCAAACCTTTTTTTGCACCACGGACCGCTATATGTCAGACAATATTTTCCCGGACCGGTCGAGCAGGGGGGGTAAATACGATCAAGTAAAATGATACGACTGGCATAAAATCAAATACAAACAGCATAAAAATAAAACAACAAGCTGGTCCCATCTAGGCGTAATCGGAGACAATGACAGACGAAGTGTTCTTCTGATGTCCAGTCTGCTCCGTAGCTTTGTTTTGGTCGCAGTAACCGCAGAAAATCCCGCTTCACAATGATAGCATGTTATAGATAGGATGAGTCTTGATCTGAATTAACCTGTGTCAAAAGGTACAGATGAACCGACTAATTGCAAGAGAATACCGTAATTTTTTATATTTTTCAAAATAAAACATCACTCAGACTCTGATCGTCGATAAATTACATATTTATATACTTTTTTTTGTGCGGCCAGGGTTAGGGTTAGGGTAAGGTTAGGGTTAGGGTTCTTCTCAAAACAACAGTCCTCCCCTTCATGCCATGAAGGAGGCTGTATAACTCATTTTAATCTCTTATGACCTTCGCTTGGAGCCTTTGAGGCTAAGAACAGACATACCTCAACATTTTTTACTCCACAGGTTAAAGATAAATTATTAAAGAATGATGGAGAGCCAAGAAAAAAATATTAATCGCTCCATAAAGAAATGGTATGATGCCTTACATAATTTTTTTATTGATAAAAATATATTTCTGTAATCACTTTAAAAGCAAAATCCATTAATTTCGGCATCTAATAAAGTAGTGCTGTTATTCCCTTTTAGCTTTAGAATGATTTGCAAATTTAAAGAACAAATGTCCCGGCCTCCAAATTAATTTCTGTTCTGATGAACCTGTGAAGAAGAAATATATGTATATCTTTGTATGCCTGCTCAGATGCAACAAGTTTGACCTACACACTGAATTTAACAAGAGGATAAAATTACTAATTTGAAGTTTTGGTTTCAGACTCCATTTTAGTCGGCTGAATAATATTCCATTACATTTGGATGTATTGAAAGCAGCAATATAATTGTTTTTATCCAAAACACCTTCTTCCCAGGGATAGACAGGCGGATACTGAGGAGGGCAGCCTTGCTGGAAGTCCTTTCCAGCTGAAGCGGAGTAGTTTAACTCCAAGTGAAAAGCAAGAGGATGCTGACAACCAGAAGAACTCCACCAGGGCCAGCCAGGCTGGCCTCAACAGCAACGCTGTCCACATCCCCGTGACTGTGACCGCCCCACCTGGAGAAACCACCATCATTCCTAGTGAGTACCGCATTTCTCTTTCTTTTATTTTTTTAGTTAAATTTTACTGTAGACATTAAAGCATTGCTGTATTTTCTACAGACTATTTAGAGTTTTTAATAAAGTTACCTGAGTTGATTTTAGTTATGTAAACCTAGTTTTGTAAAAGGCAGTCCATTATTAGCTTGAATATTATCTTCCGTTTGTAAAACAACAATGTTTTTACCTGCATTTGTAACAGTGGTTGCAAAAACAAATCAAGACTATTTACTTTTAAATAAATACTAAGATATCAATCTTATTGTGGGAATATATGAAAGCCCATTACCGAAACATGAAAGTAAAAAATTACCAAATAGAAAGTCATAATTATGAGGTTCAAAGTCATAATTTAGACTTTCTTTTTTCTTTTTTTTAACAGTGTCCTGTCTGGCAATGTGTTCATGCAGATAAATTGCTTTATTATAATTATGCAGGGAGTTTTACAGTTTATATGGACACTGCAATGTAAATAGAGCAGAAAAACAGAAGAAGAAAAGGAAAAAAGAGAAAAAAAGAGAAAAGATGAAAGAAAGAGGAGATAGAAAGGAGACAATGACAAAACATTTTCAGTCTGCTTCATCACCTGTAACGAGATGAAAAAAGAACAGCACAACCAAAAGACACGGTACGAGATATACAATAAGGCAACACCTTGAAACTATCGCTAAAGTAATATTATTAAGTCTGACATGTACCCTGTGTTACCTGAAGATATGAATGTGGGGTTTCTACAATTTAGACTTTCAAAGTCAAAATCTTAAGATACAAAGTCATAATTTCGATTTTGAAAGGCATAACTTGGAAATACAAAGTCATAATTTCGACTTTCATAATTATGACTTTTTTTTATTTTCATGTGGCAGAAATGGGCTTCCATAGAAACCATAACTTTAGGGTCTAAAATAGGTTTTAAGATCCAGATATCGATATTTTTGAGCCATGCGAGGTCATGCAATAAAAATCCCTAAATGCACATACTGTACATCCAGCTGCAGAAGGAGAAAATGTGGAGCTTTAAACCACCTTAAACACTGTTCCTGTTGGAGTTGTTCATGTTAAAAGTAGTTATAAAAAAGTGACCGAAAATGATTTCAAAAAAGTAGGCTACATGCTTTAACAAATAGATGCAGAAGTTCTTCTTGAAATACAGTGTTTACCTGTGGACATCTTACTCAGGAACATAGGCCAAATTTCAGTTAGATTCAGTCAGATGGAATTAAATTAACCAATCAATGTTAAAATAAAATAAAAAATAGTTAATGGTTTTTAAAAGAAGACTTTATACAATATATGTAATATAATTAGTCCAATTTGCTGTAATTGTTCAAGTCATATTTTAAAATGTAGGTATTGAGAATTTTGGGTTGTAATTGTGATATGTATTCATTTGAATAAATATTTCACTGGCAGCTTAAACTGGACCAACTCTTTTTTATAAAAGAAATTGACATTTTTTGTGCATTTAGCAGACACAATATGTGTATTTGAACCAGGCATTGGATCAGTTTCACCAAATCCATTCTGTATTTTACATAATATCAGATTGCATAGAAAACTTGTGGTATTTAACATCAATGACCTTTAATACAGTAGACTGGTCTTGGGTGTATTGGTTAAGCACATGACCCATGTAGAGAGGCATTGGTTCTCACAGGTTCAGGTCTGGTCTTTACCCTTTCTCTGATCACATTTCCTGTCTACCAACTTTCAAAAATAAGTCCCACTAGAGTCTTAATAAAATCTTTGGTCCAGATCCAAAGTCATCATTGACACAATTGGATTCTTAACGAATATTAGTTCAGCTTGCACTTCTCTTAACTGTTGTTATATTCTTAAATTGCTGGAAATGAATAACATTCATATATTATTTTTGCTTTGCCCCAGTGAACAACATCGATTGTGACAACTTCCGGCTCAGTGAGGAGAAAAAAGATCTGGAAGAGGAGGAGGCGGCTAACGGGCCTCGGCAGATCCTTCCCTACAGCTCAATGTTTATCTTTGGACAAACAAACCCGTAAGATTCAACTTTATGCAGAAATGGTCATGAACTTTTCAGCATTACTGCTTCAGTAACACAAACATTTCTGAGATTAATTGTTTCTCACTTTTTTAGAGATTACCTTTTATAATATTTTCCTTCCTTATTTGGTATACAATATTCACCTATTTCCATAGTTTAAGCCAGGGGTCTGCAACCTTTAATATCCAAAGAGCCATTTTGCCCCAAGTCCGACCAAGTAAAAGGTGTTTAGAGCCGCAAAGTAGATGACTTTTTAGAAAAACAATTTGTTTGTTTTTTTATATCTAGTATAGAAAATTAGTTGCCATCTTAAACAACCAACAATGTATGTATTTTAACTTTTAAAATAATATTAAAACACAGAAATTCCATGCTAATTAAAAGAAAAGTGACTCTAAAACATTTTTCTGGTTCTTTTTAATGTCCTTCTTATCCATCTTATAAAAAAAACACTAAAGCCTTTAAGACTGGTATTTATTTTGTAGTACATTATTTAGCTCTTTATATACATTTTAGCCACTTTAAGAGCCGCTGCAGAGGGTCCAAAGAGCCACATGTGGCTCTTGAGCCGTAGGTTGCAGACCCTTGGTTTAAGCAAACAAAAACCTTGCCTTGCTTTAACTTTTTATAAAGATAAAACATTGTTTTGTTAAACTGCCATCATACTATGGTGGAGGGACATGAGTGTGTGGATGATCCCAAAGGCTATGTTGTTTGGGAATTAATATTCCCCCGGTAAGGTCTTCCTAGATAAACAGGCTCAGGGTAACAAGTGAGACAAAAAGCAGCTCAAACCTCCGTGGTGATGAAAAACTTTGTGACTTTGCCAAGTACATGGGAGCCAAGACCTCCCCTTTAAGCCAGGACAGGGGTTAGGGCTTATTGGTAAGCGCTTTGAGGTTAGATTACTTCCCAGGAGATGCGGCACAAATAAGAAACGTGAGGCCATTCCCAAATGGGCCTCCTACCTGCACAGGGATCCATGAGAGACAGGTGCAAAGATTATCCAGCAGAAGTAAAAGAATCCTCTGACACAGTAGTAGTCCTTCAAAATTTACCCACTTTCCTTGATGGGTCCTTGGTTGGTCCACTACAAATCCTTTCTAAACATCAATATTTGTACTAAAATATTCTTTCTGTCATGATTTGTGGACTTTAAGATCTAAAGGGAAGCATCATCTCCTGGTGAGACCGTGTAATTCAATGAAAGGGTGCAGTCAGATTAAAGAAATATGCAAGAAGGGGTCACTCCAATGGATGGAAGTTGGACAGGATTTAGCTGGGAGTGGGCTACCATTTGGCTGGCGCTTGGCTGGGAAGGGCCATTTTGAATGGCTACTACTATATACTGGCTCTGGGCATATGGATTGTCACCTCAATGGGGGAAAAGGGGCCTCAGCTTGTGCTTGAGTGCGAAACTAGAAATAGTTGAACTCAACTCTACACACAGCCTCGGTTGACAAACCCAGTTACTTTGGAAAGTCTGAACTGTCTTCTGCCTTAAAGTGTGAAGAGATGGTTGGGATGGAATTTGCTTGTGGATGAAGGGATGTTATCCCTGTGCCTTAAGGTAGGGGAGAGGGTGCTGAATGTTGTCTTAACCTCAGCACAGAGTAACCACTTACTTGGACCTGCCAGCACAGACCTGGCAGGTCCAAGTAA